ATTTATAGAAGGATTTGAATTCAGCTCATAAATCATTTGATTTTGGAGTTGGAGACATAATCATAATAGAAGTAGATATTCCAAAAAAAAAAATCACTTGGTCAAAGAAGGATACATAACTTAACATTGTAATTTTTTTATAGTTAAACATAGACAATGAATTTGGATACTAGTTAAGATTTATATCCATGTGCTAATTTATGTAGTCCAGGAGATACTGTAGAAATTATAAACAAGATTGAAGCTTGATATTTATATATATATGTGTTAAATTACAATGAAAATTAATTATATCTACACCAATTAATTAAAGTAATATATTAGTCTGTATTATTTAAGTACTAAAATATCTATGATTTTTATTAATTAGTTTAATATATAGTTTTTCTCTTAAAATTTATTAATAGGAGTTGTTAATTATTGGAAGAGTATATTTTGATTATTTATGTGAATTTTGTAATAAATGAATTAATATAATCTTACAAAGGGCAAATAATAAAAGTAGTTTCATTTGATCCTCACTCCTCTTAAAGTTGAACATTCATTTCGAAATAAGAATCATTATTTAGAGAATTCATCTTATTATTAACATACATCTCCTAGAACTATTTTACCATAGTTTACACCATAAAAGAAAAAAGCATAAATAAGTTTTCAAGAATCAATGAATTCTCCATAAACTTCTTTGATTACATCATTTAAAATAAGACCAAGAAATACTCATTAAGAGAAAGTGTAATTATAAAGTAATTTAGGTATTTCTTTTATTTAGAATTAGTTAAGATCCAATCAAGATTGATTCCTGATGAGAATTTTATATTCAAAGTTAAATATGCAGCCAGATCTAGGAAAGGAGTCTAATTAGGGAATGCTTCTAAAGTGAATTAGGATACTTATGTATGTTGTGCGAAGATAGAAAATAATGAATGTATACATCTATTTGCAATTTGTGATGGACATGGTGAACATGGACATTAAGTTAGTGGATTCATAAAAAATTAACTACCATAATTAGTATAGAAGAATAAAATGATACTAGAAAGAAAGTAGACAATTATAATAATAATATATTTAGTTCCTCATAAGGGTTGATGATCATTATTTAAGGACTTTCTGATATGTTACAATAGAGTCTTATTGATATATCTTATTCAGGATCGACTCTAGTTATAGTGTATGTTAAAAATAATAAAGTTATTGTATTATTAACAAAGTTAGCTTTATTGTGCAAATTTGGGAGATTCAAGAGCCGTTCTTTTGAATCGAGATGAGAGATGGAGAATGAAACCATTATCTAGAGATCATAAACCAAGTTGTAAAGATGAAGCTGATAGAATATTGGCAAATGGAGGCAGAATAGATCCTATGATGAATGGTTTAGGTCTTTTTGTAGGTCCATTAAGAGTATGGACAAAGTAAAATGTTCCTGGTTTAGCTATGACAAGATCACTTGGAGATGAAATAGCACATTCAGTAGGTGTGAGTGATAAACCTGAAATAATGTAATTTGATTTAGAAAGGAGTGATAAAGTAATAATATTGGGGAGTGATGGATTATTTGAATTTTTAAGTAATGAACAAATAATAAATTGTATCTCTCCATATTATGATACATCTAATATTGAAGGAGCATGTAATTAATTAATGTTGACTGCATGTAATAGTTGGATGTAAAAATGTAATAATTTAATTGATGATATTACTTTCATAGTATTATTTTTAACTTATTGATATTCATTTTATTTATTGATTCAGTATTAGTTATTTTAGTAAAATACATTTACAAAATTATTAAAAAAGAAAATAAAATATTATAATTAAAAGCACCATTTCAATATTTAATCTAACTGATTAATATCTCATACTTTAAGTTTAGAGATTTAAATGAAAGATATAGAGTTACAATAGAAATGGCTTATTTTATTTAATCTTTCTTATATCTATTTATTCAATGTTAATTTAATGGGTGTCTCAAAAATCAACTAATTTATGATATATGCATTCAATATATAAATCATAACAGTCATTATTCATCTTCCTCCCATATTTAAGGTTTTCTATTTATTAACATATATCATTTTACTTTAATGCTAACTTAATTAGTTCAGCTTCACTTAAATTATTGACTTTCTTTGGAAAATGAACTTTAAAATACAATTATCATATACTTTCATTTTGTTCTTGAATTATTTATGTATCATGAACCTCAGGAATTGTGATGATCTTAACACTACTATCTATATGAACATGTAAATCATCTTATATATTATTCTAATGTTATTGATGCTACTTCTCTTTCTCTTCCATATAATTAGGATTATCAAAAGTTGATTATCGTTTTAGAATACTTTAATGTGTATGTCTAATTTCTTAATCCATATTTATGATAATTAATATATTTTATGAATTATTTCATCAAACATATTCTTCAATCTCAAGAAAATGTAATTGAATTAAGAATTTTTATGGTTTTCTTTTTTTATTTAAATTACCCATATTATTTTAAATCATATTAAAAAGCATTTCACTTATACAATTACTCATTTTAATATACAATAATTATTGTTAAAATTATTATGTTATTTGAAAGTTCTATTCGAACAGGAGATCCTCGTCTATCAACAAGAAATAAATAAGCATAAACTACAGAAGTAGTTAATACTTATGATTCATCTTTTAATGGTAGAGTCATTTATGCAAGAAACCTATTTTCCAAATTATTCTTGTAGATGATTATTATCTGTAAATATTTTTAATTATAACTTTATTTATAGGTATCTATGTATGGATTGTCCATTCTATACCTGCTTTAGATAAATTCTTAGAATAAACTAGATGGATATTTTGGTTAAGTCTAGGTATCTGTGTAGGAACAGCCACCTTAGCTTTAATTTATCGTAACCATATTACATTGTCTCCAACTAATTGGTTAGTATTTATTGTATTTACATTATCATTTGCTTCTGTTTGTGGTTGTTTAGTTGCATTTGGTAATTCCTAAATTGGATTATTACTCTTTGTTAATTTTGCAAGTAAGTTAAAATATATAAATAGGCTTAATATTCTTTTTATTTTTATATTCATCAACTGTAAGAAGAAAAATAACTTATTCTGGAGCTGTATTATTTGTATCAGCAAGTATATTGATAGTGTTTGAACTATTTACAATATTCACTAAGATATCATTGTTTTGGATTATGTTTATATCTTTATCATCCTTTTTATTTGCATTTCTATTATTATATGATACATATACTAATTTAAAGTAATATTAATTCAATATTTAGTTGTGGAGATTCATATGATATCAATAAGGCAGATGATGTGAGTGGAAGTGTAACCATTTATTGGGACATTATTCTATTATTTTTAAAGATGGCAGACCTTATCAAAGATAATCTATCTAATAGATAGAATTGATTGATAACATCTATATATATATATTAATTTTACATTAAATGAATTTCATTTCTATCAATAATATCTAAAATGTATATTGATAATAATATTCATCTATAATACCCATACATACAATATATCTTCACAATCTTTTCATTAAATATTCTACCTACTATAACTAAAATTATCTTAACATAAAACTACTACATCCTTACAACTATTACTATTACCATGTTAATAAATTATAATGTTAAACAATTTATAATTATTTAATGCTCTTATTATTATAATAATAATATCTAAGTTCTCTAATTTTATTATTGCAACCATTCCAATCTATTAAATTATCATTTAATCTTAACATACTATTCCCAATAGCTTTAGTATCAAACATTTTAAGAAAAAATAGACTATAATATTAAAGGTGTAGATTTTATCATTATTTCTAAGCCTTTTTCATGAAATATAGCAATTTTATTTAAAAAATATACAATTAAAATAAAAATTTAACAGAAGTACAAGTCTTCTTATTATTTCATTATATTAAATGGAAGTGATATTGAGTAAAGTTAATTCTTATATCTGAGTGTATAATTTAAATAATCAACATTAATTTAAATTTTAACAATCATATTCTAACTAATATTCTCTATTAAAAGCTCTAAATATTCTATAGAACATATTACTAATTAGATTAAATCACTAAATGTTTAATAATATATCTAATAAAAAACTTATTATTTTCCTTCTTTGAAAGTAGATAATCAATGACTTTTTCAATTCCTTAATTTTTAAAGACATAGAGGTTGTAATGATAGAATATGAAATATATAAGTTTAGCCAAAATCTTACTTTAATTATATATATGAATCATAAATAAAAGATAAGAATTTGATTATTATTCAAGAATAGTCTATCGCCATCTATGTTTTCAATTCAGTAACTAATTAGAAAATTTCATATAATCTCTCTTGATGATTATATAACATATTTGATATATTAAACTCACTTTTTAGAACCCATCATAAGATATTTAATGGCATATAAATAAACTAGCCTAATGAAATTTCTATGAGCCAAATTTGATTTTGAATTATTATTTATTAATATTTATTTAATTATTAATTAATATTTATTTAACTTGATAAGTAATTTACTTTTTAAGCTTCTTCTGATTAGATGCCTTAAATTCTTTTTTCATTTTATTTGGTTTGATTATTACAATTATATTACTGTATTATATTTAAAGAAAAATAATAAATTACTTATATCTCTATAATTTAAATAATGTTTCTCTTCATCATTAATACTATGAAAGTAAATCCTTTAATATGTATGATTTTAATTAAGTCATCTTAATTGTATAAAATATTAATTGCATTAAAATTTTGCACTTCATATTTTTTATTTATAAAATAAGAAATAGTATTGAAGATTATGGATCTATTTTCTACCTTGGTTTTTTTGTTTAAGTCATAGGAATTAATTACTCTTATTTAATGTTTAATTTGAATATAATTTTCATATTGTACTTCTTTTGGATATTATAAAATATCTTTATGCAAAAAACAATAGAATTCATAAACAAAGAGTTATTCATTTCAACTTTCTATCTCAATTACATTAATACTGGAATATCGCATATCATTTCTTTCATCATTATTGTTTATTATTTAAATTGTCTATTTGTTTGGATTATCTAATTCAATTATTGAAATAGATTTAGAATCACTTTCATTTTGTACATCAATAAATCTCCAAGGATCAAGAACTTCAATTGAAACTTAATCTATACAACTTACATAAATCAAAGAGAGAATTAGAATCAATAAAATAGCGAGCACTGTTGTACCTGCTAATATTACGGGTTCCAATCTTCCATTCTATAATTTATTATATTGGAATCTTACAACAATCTAATAAATCAATGCAATAATGGTTCCTATGATTCCAAGAGACGCGATTATTTCAGTTGTCCAACAAAATAATCTAGCTCTTGGTGCTCTTCTTATCATTCTCAGTTACTTTTAATCAGAAAATTTTGTTTCCATTAAAAACTTTGAATGACAGACTTCACAACCTATCTATTGATATAACAATTATCTTACATCATTTTTATACACCTTCTCTATCCCTTACTTTTCTAAAATCCATAATTTAAGGCAATTTTCATGAATAAATTATAGAGATCCTTTGCATTTACAAGGTCTTATTAGTTCAGAATTACCATCATCACATAAACAAATCCTGCAGAACTCTTAAAATTACATAGTGAGAATTTCTTACTAGTCTCATCGTGTATATTTGAATCTTATTATCTTATATGATTAATCTTCATTTCTAGCCAAACATGTTTGTTTCTTAACTTATCCTAATTTATTTTAATATATTAAACCTTTATTAGATATACCTTTCTCATTTTGAGCTCTGGTACAATCTTTATTGATTTCGACAATTATTGGATTTCGAAAGGATTAATATGTTATTGTGATTAATCAATACTTTGAAACTAATGTTGAGGAGATTAATGAATAGTAAGTGTTTCAGGAATAAACATATAGAATTAGCCACTTATCTAAAATACTCTTAATTAATAACTTGCATATATAAAAATTAGCATCTAATTAAGATTTCTCAATAATATCATTAAACAATGACATCATTATTGAAATTTAATCTAATAAATATTTTTTCGCTTACTTTGAATCAATAATATATATATTATACAAAAAAATTAAAATAATTTTTATTCTCTTTATAAAAGAAATTATTTGATTTATAAATCATTACATTGTTCTTTTGGTTGATTCCAATATTAACTTTAAGTTACCCTTTTATTCATCCACCTACAATTTCATATACACTATCTTCAAAGTTCCATCAATATTTTTTAATTTGTGTACATAATGTCCATTCAATATCCATTCATCTCCTTCCTCTATATTTGCTATAAAATGATAAGCATTCACTGATGAATTCACTACAATCAAGTCATTCTCCGACTAAATTGAAATCACTTTCACAGTATGTAAAGTTTTATCAAATCCACTTAATACGATTTTCCAATTATTACATAAATTTTCAATTGGATCTTATGTAATTGATGGGGCTCCTAAAGATGTATAATCTATTTCAACAATAGAGTGAAACTTAGACTTTGCTTAATCAAACTGTCTTTCATCCCACTTTTGAGCAACAAAACTAATAATATCTTGAATTTAATCTTATGTGTATTCCATAATAATAATAATGTTAATTAAGAATCATTCATTTTTTTTTAATTAAAAAATTCTTATCTTTCTTAGTACTTCCTAATTATGTTGAATCTTGAATTTATCTGAAAGAATCAATTCGATCCAATGAAAACCCTTATTCAGAATGAGGAGTCATTGGATAGGGTTCAACTGATTTTGAAGCAGAAAGAGTTTTTTCAAATTAATTTGGCTTCAATAAAATTCTGCTTTCTTCTTTTTAACAAAAATCTATATCTAACTTTGTAGTAAAATAATCAGATATTTTTCTTTTAACATTTTATGTATATTTATTCAGATTGGCATTGAAGCTATTACTTATATCTAATTTACGAGCTGATGATGAAACTAATTATTATTATTTTATATATTTTTACGTTTATATATTTTGTGTAATAGATCAACTTGTTTAATAATTTTAGTTTTAGTGTTGGATGTTTCAATTTAAGGAGTCTTAGATTTTTAAATATTAGCTGTTTAAGGTTTTTATTTCTTTTTACTAAGTATACCTTTTAAATTTCTTCTTTCTTAATTAAAATAATCCATATCAGATGAAATCTAGTCAGATTATTAATAATTCTCATTTAATTCCTTTTATTTCATAATATCAATATCTTAAAGAGCCTTAGTAACTAAATGATCTTGTATAGCAGGAAATTATTTTTTAATTTTTGAACTTTAATGAATGAAATATTCATGATATTTTCTATCATCTGAAGTATTAATTGCTTTATTAGAGTTCATTTTTAAATTAGATTCATCATCATCAAGATGTGTACTATTTACTTATTCTTGCAATCTTTTTAATTATTATTATTTAATTTGTAATAAAAAAGGAGAAGTAACTTCATTGTTGAACTTTTATTTTAATGTTTAAGATTTTTAATTAAAATTTTGATTATTTTTGTATATATGTCTCATAATTTCTCTATAATATGAAAATTATAATTCGAAATGTTTTTTAATATCAGCTTCTTTAATAAGTTTAGAATATTGATCATATAATTGACAAATAATTTCATGATTACTTAATGTGACATCAATATCATCAAAACTAATATCTAATTTTAAAGTTTAAGTAATGAAGTCATTCTTTATAAGATCATTCCATTAATTGATAATAAATTCATAATCTTTATGCATTTTAAACTTAGCTAATTATTCATTAGGAAATCTTGTCATAGATTCTATTTTTTATTCACTTGGAATTTCTTCACTTGTAATACTACCATTCCTTTTTCCAATACAAACATACTATCCAATATGTTTATAATTTGTAGATTTATTAACAGGTATACTCTAAGTAGCTAATGGAACATATAAATTAAAATCAGTCTTTGTAAAATTTTTAAGATATTGCATGCATTTATTATCCAAAGATTTTGGAATAGATTTTGTTGTTTCTGATAACCAAATTACATTATTACATAATCTTTGAATCATATCAATCAATTTTTAGTATATAGTGATTAAACATAATTGATAACCATGTAAATGATAATTCAATTAATAATTTTCATGAATTATCTATGGTCCTTCAATAATTGTATTATTATATGAACCAAAGTTAATTTAATCATCTATTGATGATATATTACATATATTCTTTAATTGAGATAATTCATGATTTAATTACAAGATTTATTATTATCTTAATGTTTTTTCTTCAGTATAAAAATTGTATTCATTTGTTTGCATATTTTAATGTTCAAGTAGATAATGATAAGTGCTGATAATTTATTTTGTCAATACACCAATATCTTATGTTTTGTAGAACTCATCTACTTGATTTAAGATTTCATCTCTTGTTAATGCTTTATCATTTTATTATTATTATACTGATTAACCTAACTCTTATAATTAATTTTGATTTCCTTATATTTAATCAACAACCTTTAATTTGGCATCCATAAAAAATTCTATATATTCACTAATTTTAAAACACTCTTATAATTTATATTTCTTTTATTCTTCTTATTCTTTTAAAATATGAATTTAATGTAATAATTCTTAATTTTTTTATCTACATTTTTTAATCTTTAACTAAATTTCTTTAATCTATAATTCACTATTATCTATATCTCTAGAATACTTTTCTTGATTCATCTCAGATTAACTCCTAAACTTATCCATTTCCTTTTAAAATTGATTAGTAAAATGTTAAGTTTTCTTTAACATCATCTTAACTTTATCATCTAATTCTCTTTGAACATGATCAGGTTAAGTCTTGATATGACGTATATTATCTTTGTAGTTATTGATTTTTCTATCTGTCTATAACTTTGCCTTCAAGATTTCCTCTAACTTTGTCTTCAAGTATTATTAATAAATCAAAACTTCATCTGTCTATTCCTATATAAAATCTAATTGTTGTTATGTATAATTAGAAATTTCTTTAGTTATTTATTTTCTATTATAAGAATCCAATTCATTTTTCTTCCTTTTATTCAAATCAATAGCTTAATTCAATATATCTTTGAACTATTTAAAACCATCATAATACTTTGGATAGATGTTTTGGCTCCACTACACTTTATTAAATTTCAAATTGCCTTCTAAAATTAAACTCTTGATCATCATCATCTAATTTTATTTTTTACATTATTAAATAATCAATTATTCACATTAGTTAAAATATTCCTAGAGAATTAACATTATAATCAAGAATTAAACTACTAGTATTTAATAATTTACATTATTGTTTTTATTAGAATATATTATTTAAAAAACCCCAGATTATATGTGACTCTTGTAATGATAAAATAATATATGAAAATAAATATTAATTCCATTAATACAGAGTTCTATTTTGATATAAAAATCACATTAAAATTAAAGGATTTAATCTTATTACTATTTAAGATTTTCAAATAGATATTTTCTAATATAGTTTTTCTCTTATTTATTATTGACATTATTTTGATGAATACTGTAATAAAATTCAATTCATATACGATATTCTTTATCTAATAAATTTTTTATTGAAATGAATCCTGATTATTTTGGATGTACTCTAATTCATAAATCTAATTTTCCTGATAAAGGTAATCTTTATGTTGGAGGAATCAAATCACTTGACTCAATCTAAAAATATAAATTTGGTGCTATTATTTCTGTAATCGATGAATTAGATTATAAAATACCTAAATAGATCTATCATTTAAGAATAGTTGCACCTGATGAACCTAATTTTAAAATATCTGATCACTTTGAAAAAACCTGTAAATTTATCAAAGTGTATTTAAAATAAACTAATGTCCTTGTACATTGTTAAGTAGGTATTTCAAGATCAGTTTCAGTTATGATGGCTTATTTTATCAAAGAAATGAATATGAAACCAGATGATGCATTTTTATACATTTAAGACAAAAGAGAATTTGTTCATCCTAATGAAGGATTTAGACTTCAACTATAGAAATTCTATGAGGAATGTACAAAACCAAAAGAAAAATCTAATCCAAAATCAAAACTTTAATAAGTTTAGCAACAAAAATAAAAGTGATAAGTTACCTTATGTATAAATTGTCTATTTAACAAATTTTAAATATTAATGAATTAATATAAACAATTTAATACAATCAATTCTTAAACACTTCAACAAATTCTTTAGTTCTCAAATGTAAATCCTCAATTTAATGTTTGACTGTTTCATCAGTAACATCTTCAAGTATATACTTAATAATATATATATATTATATTCTTACATCTCTATCCCCATCATCTGTAAAGTCTGTGTATTTAATTTATCCATCATCTTCAAGTGCATATGTGATTTTCAAATGATAACCCATTCTTATTTTACCTCTACTCAAATAAAGATGAGCTTCCCCATCTACTGATTCTACTGCAGAAATTTTGGTTTAACCAATTTTCATCTATAAATAATCATTACTAATAATTCTTACTCCTACTATATTTTCTAAAGATTTTTTAATTTCATTCATAGGCACTTTTTTCTCTTCCCATGTTCCTGATACATTCCATTAAGATCCTATTGTTTGCACTTGTTATACTTAAGTAGGGTCTTCTACTTTCTTTGGTTAGCAATCTATTTTAGGATGATTTGGATCATTTTTAACCCAATATGTGTATGAATGTTCCTTCTTAACACTATCCATATTTAATTCCAGAATATTAAATAATTAATGATTAAAATAGCATCAGAAATTTATAATAATATTCTAAAATTAGAGTTTTAATATTGTTCTAAACATATTCTTATTTTTAATTCATTTAAAACCAAATCTAAACAATATTCATAAATATTATAATTGAATATAATTTTCTTTAAATAATTTTAAATATTACAACAAAAAACATAATTACTTATTAAATAGTATAGAATACCATTTAATAAAAGAGTAATAAATGATAATAATCTTTACTTTTAATTAACACCTTATTAAGAGTAATTTATATTAAATATAGTGTATATTAGATATGTTAGAACATAAGAGTATTATCTAAATAAAGAGTTAGTTATATATAATATGTACTTTATTTTGATAAAGAATTTTTTCAGCTTTTGATTACAATTAATAATAAAATTTATTATCATGTAATTATTCTAGATGACATCAATATTATAATTAATGTTCAAAAAGACTTCCAATAGTTTTTATAAATGTTCAAATAGAATACTTAGAAAAGGTGCAGTATTTTTTAACAAAATTGAAAATTTTATCAATATAAATCTTTTAGTGAAATTAATTAATTATAAGGATTTTAATACTTGTTTTGATACAAACAGATTTATAAAATTTAATGTTAATTATCGTAAATATATTTCACAAAATCTTGAACTTTTAAGATGATTTTTTTAATTGATTAATTTAAAATACATTATTAGTCAATACAAATTATCTTAAAATGTTTTGAGACTAATTTAGATACTTTTAATTAGTCTATTTAAACACAGGATTGTAAAATGCAACAAGGATTAGCACAACTTTCTATTTTTAACTATAAAAATGTTCTTTATTCAATATTATTACAAAAGTTGGAAATAAAAAGGAAAGAAAGTTGAGAAGGTTTCATAATTATTGATAATTATAAATCTATTAATTATTTCATATATTTATTTTTTAATTTATTACATACATGCATTTAAATATAATATTATCAAAAAATTAATTTTATTTATTTTTTACAAAATTTGATAATTCAAATTGAAGAACATTACTCTTTTTATATATTGTTCGTTTAGATATAATAAAGGAAATTATCCATTCAACAAGAGAATAAAATTGCTTTTATCTATTATCTAATAAAATAGATATCTTGTTTTAGTATGAATTTTCAATTTGAATTGTGAATGATAGTTTTAATAATTGATATAATATTTAAGATCTAATTGAATCTTTGCAAATAGAGTTAATTAATTTTAATTTTATATTAAGGTTAAGAAGTGTATAAAAGTCATTATTTTCGAATGTTCGTAATATAGCACCTTAAAAATTCCATTCATCATGAAGTTTCTTGTAAATTTCATAAGGTATTATCACTTTAATAATTTAGTAATTTTAATTAAGCTTTCTCTTATTAAAAAATATACTTGAATACTACAAGTAGTTTTGATACTAATCTGAAATTGTAATAAATTGATTAATATTTATATACATGTAAATAATTAAATGTAAAATTTTAATAACTAAAATTATATTAATGAAATGTTTTGAACATAATGCACCCTACAATTTAATTTGTTAAGTTAAAGATTGCAGCTAGAAATTGCTGTGTAATCAATGTATGACTAAGCATAATGCTCAACACTATCCAATGATTTAGAGTTTTTCCGATATGGATTATCAAATAAAATAAGTCCCTTAGTTGCTTGAGAAAGATTTGGATATTCTAAAAGCTAAATTATATTCAATTTAAAATCATATGACAGTAGAGAAGGATTAGCTTAAGAAATAATTGATAAAGTTGTGTGAAGTTCTAAAATCTCGAATAAATGCTGAAGTTGATGACTTTTGTTCTTCTGCTTTAGAATATACAAATTCATATTATAAATAGTATGAAACTGATATAGGTAGTTTGCTTGGAGTAATATCTGAGCATTTGAATATGGTAGCCCCATATACAACAAGAGTAAGACCAATAAATGAAAATCAATTTGGAATGTTGATGGATTTTCAAGAAAAGATGCTTAGAAATATATTACCAAGTCTAACAAAGAGAGCTGAAGTAATTTCAAAATAAGTTCTAGAGAATCAATTATATATGAAGATTGATCATTTTTATGCAATTGTAAAAACATCACTTGGTAAAGCACTGTAGTCTTATAATTTATTCAAGAACAATGAATTTTAAATTGAATAAAAGAGATCCATGCATTTACAAACAGAAAATGAATCAGAATTAGTAAAATCATCATTTTATCCAATGAGTGATTTTAAAAGAAATGCTTTAGAGTTATTTAGAGAAAATTAACCATAAGAAAGAAAGTCTGCTAGAATTTATAGACCAGAAGAAGGATTTAATATACCTAAAAATAGAAGTTCAGCTGAGTTTAGTGGATCTCGTTTTATATATGCAAAAGCAATAAATACAGTGTTAAATGGTCATACAGATATAGTAACATGTATTTGTATATTTTCTTAATCTTCTTTAATATCTGGAGGAGGTGGAGGAATTATAAAAATATGGGATATTGATGGAGGTTTATCATTAGGATAGATGAATGAACATGCAGGAGATGTTTGGGCATTAGCTAAAATAAATGAAAGTAATTTTGGTAGTGCTAGTGCAGATTAAACAGTGAGAATTTGGAATTATTAAAGAATGGTATGTGAAAGTGTATTAGTTGGACATTTGTAACCAGTTAAAGCTTTAATATATCTAAAAGATTTAGAATATTTAGCATCTGGTGGTTTAGATAGTACAATAAAAATATGGACAATTAATAGACCAAAGTTAAAATTAACAATGTAAAATAATTAAAGGGTTAGAGCATTATGTTATGTTTAAACAAAGGGACTTATAGTAAGTGGAGGTGAGAATAATTTAAGTGTGTTTAATATATTGAATGGTTATTGTAAAGATTAATTAGAAGGACATCATGGAGAAATATTATGTTTGAAATATTTACAAGAATCATTGATGGGTGAATTTATGTCAGTAATTGCATCAGGAGGAGCAGATAAAAAAATTATAATATGGAATTTGGATAGAGCTATAAAATTACATATATTTGTTGGACATTAAGAAGCAGTAACTTGTTTAACATTTGATATTGAAAATAGACAATTATGGTCAGGAGGAGCAGATAGAACTATTAGATGTTGGGATATTGCAACAGGAAAGTCTATATTAACTGCAAAAAGACATTCTGAATAAATAAGTACTCTAGAATATATGCCTGGTAGAGAATTAATTATTAGTGGAAGTTGGGATCATAGAATAAGAGTAACATAAAAATCAATTTTAATGAATTGATAATTTGTATATTTTCAATTCTTAAATTTAAAACTATATATAAACTATTTTATTTTAATATTTAATATATTTTTATTATTAGAAATGTTATTTTTATCATAAATTTATTTTCTAAATAAAAATCAACTATTTTTTCTTAATTTATTGAGATTTCATATATGATTATTAAAGACTTATATTTTTTTATTAATCATATAGGTAATTAATTATCAAAATTATAAATATTGATTTTCTAATTTGTGTTCCTATGATGAAAAAATAATAAATACGAAAACCTCCATCATATGATCCTTTTACTTTATTAACGAATGATTATGTACGAATCATCCTTACATACTTGAATGTGGTATTGTATTAATTTAAACTAGTTTGATTTAGTGAGATCGGCTAGAGTTTGCAGAAGATGGAGAGAAATAATTGAAAAAGATCCTTTAATGTTTGAACATGCTAATTTAGAAAATATTGACTCTTCTAAACCATTGTTTCCTATACTTAAAATATTTTCAAGAGATAAAACAATAATCTCTATGAAATTACCTCCACATGCAACATAAACTGATACAGCCTATATGTTCATGTAATTACCATAGAGTATACAATATTTGAAATTTACAAATATCAATATGGAATTCTCAAAGATCTTTACTCGTAAGTTTCCTAATTTCAAGAGTTTAACTTTGGTTAATACAAAAAATAGAAAGAAACCATTTGATGAAATTGAAATGAAATCATTTCTTACATTGAAGAGTGCATAAGAATTACATTTCTATTCATTACCTTGGGAAGATAGTTTTATAAGCATTTTCTCTGAATTTAATCTTCAAGTACTCTGTATTTATGATTGTCCTTATTTAACTAATGATTCTCTATATCTCATATCAAAACATTGTAAATTATTATAAAAATTACTTGTTGGAGGGAGTGAACAAGTATATAATGCATAAATATCTAAAAGTGGATTTCAAATTGATTTAATGAATTTAAAATCTTTAGAGATTAGATATTGTTCTAGAATTGGAGATTAATCATTAGATATTATAGCTAATTCATTTCCAACTTTAACAGAATTTGCTTTAGTAAGAAATAATTTTGAAAAATGTGCTAAAATTAGTGATTAAGCATTTAAAAATATGCAAGATCTCTAATTATAAAGATTGTCTATAATATATACAAGAAAACTAAGAGATCAAGCACATATTAATATAGCTAAATTTCATTAATTAAGATATCTATGTTTAAGGAACTGTCCATTATAATATGATGTTTCAATATGGAATGAAAATTGTCCATTATTAGAAGAATTAGATGTATCTGGAGATTCTTGGGTTTCACAATCTTTTGTATTAGGAATAGCATAACATTAAAATCTTAAAATATTTTGGTTAGGTCATTTTGAGCATGGAGACTTAGATTGTGATACAAAATTATAATAATATCCTCCTGAAGGATTATTCTTGGAAAGTATATTTAAGAAAGAAACTAGTTTTCCAAAATTACACACATTACATTTAGAACATGATTGCAATTTAACTTATTGGTTATATGCAAGAATATCAAAATTAAGACCCAAATTATTTTTTAGATGATTCAATACTAATTCAATTGTTATTTGATATTTTCTATATTTAATAAACACTCTGGATCTTTATTATATATTTTAAGATATTATGCTAGTTTTATTAGATTCTTTGCATCTTCACTTCTACAACAAACAAAATAATCTCTTAAATTTTCATCCCATGGTGAAGCTCTACAAGCAAGTAATAATCTAATCATCTCTAAATTATCTGTTTATAAAGCAAAATAAAGAGGTTTTTATAAAAAGAAGTCTTCTGAATTTACATTAGCTCTATAATATAACAATAATTTGACCATTTCAATAGATTAAATCATTACTCCTATATGAATACCATACTAACCTTATTCATTAAAAGAACCTATAAATTAATTATTCTAATCTAACATTTATTTAACTGCTTATATATTATTTTACTAAACAAATCTTAAAAATGCAATTGAACCTGGCATTTAGTATGGTACAAATTATTAAAATTTTTAGAGTAACTAATCATATCTATATAAATTAAATACATCTAAAACAAATGTTTTTTATTTTATAGCTTTTTTAGCTAAAATTTTCATTTTATGAATAATTCTTCTTTTTTTTACCCTCTTTTCATAATAAATAGGATAGAATTCAATTAATTCTTCGTCATCTCTTTTTTTATCTATATCAAAAACAGTTTAAGAATAAGATGATATTAATTCTGAAATTTCATTCTTTTTTATTTTTGTTATCTTTTTTGTATATCTATATGGTTTATAAATAATTGATTATGATATTTCACTATTAAAATCTTATCTTATTTATTATTTTTCTTTCAATTTTTATATATTTTATTCTTTCTATGTAGATTCATTATATTATTGTAGATAATTATCAAATTAATCATCTTTTCTCATTGATTTTTATTCAATAACAAATTATAACCATTTATTACTTAAAAATCTATCTAAACCTACTCTTGGATCTGTACTTTTTCCAAATCCCATTTTAGTAAAATTATCAAGTGTAGGACTAGGTTGTTTTAATTATCTGATAGATCTTTAAGATTTAAGATTTAATTTAGCTTTCATAGATAATGTATTAATATTTTTAGTTTAAGTAATGAAACATTTAAGCGATTCAGATGGTTTAATTAGATTAGTTGATGATGGGTCTAATTAATCATCTAAATCTTTTAGAATCTTTTAAGAGACAGATATTTATTATTTTTGAAGTTTTCTTCCATTATTTTTAAATGTAGTTTTACTATTTGATCCTACCAATTCTTAAACTTTCTTAATATCCTTACTTTTAACATTATTATAATTATTATTCTCATTTTTAAGGTTGCTTGTTACAATTTATTTCATTTACATAGAATTTCTTGATCTTGCAGGTCCATGAGGTGAAAAGAGATGAGAAATCTAATTAAAAGATTTTGGTGTTAATTTTGATTTTTAAGGTGTTGGTGTTGTAATAGGAACACTAGGTTAAGAGACAATTTATTTTTATTCCTCTGTAACTTAAGTTTCTAATTCTAGGAATTATTTTTTAAGTAAGTTATTATCTGTAATAGTATTTATAGTGAATAATTTATCAATAGATTATTATCGCCTTTATTCAAAGAATTCTTTAAGTTTTCTATTTAGAAAATCCCAATTCATAAAATAATAATTTGCATAATTCTAATTAGAATATTATCAATAATCTACTAAATATAGGTTCATTAAATATCTATAGAATAATTTTAAATAGAATGTAATGATTAAAAAAAGATTATATATAGTTATTAAATTCAATTAGAAATCATAAGAATATGTTCTAAAAAAGGATATTTTTATGATTTCTATATTCAAAAACAATAAACAAATTATTATTATTAACATTATTAAAAGTTGAATTTGAATAGAGAACATGATTAAATCCAAAAGAAAGTTTTAATAATATAAGTTTACTTTTATTTTTTGATATTAAATAACATGGATTAGGGTATAAACATTTTGATAAAAAAAAGATACATTAATCTGTAATTTATAGATTTAACAACTTAAGAAGTGAGTTTAAAAAAAGTAAAGTATAGGAATTATCAAAATTGTCTATGAGGTTTCTAATTTTGGGTTTATTATGATTGCAATTGATATATTTAATAAATCATGAATTAATTGGCTCTCGATAAAGTGAAACAATTCGAAAGTAACTCTGGTCTGAATTCTCCTTTAAGTATGACTTTCAGATTGTCAACTACTTTAAGATAACATAGTCGATAAATGAAAAGATAAAAATCAAGAAGTTAATAAAAGCCTTTTGTTTTACATTAGAAAACAATAAAAGGTCCTTTTAGAAGGAAAAGCTGTTATTGTGATGAATGTGGATAATTGGGAACATTTTAATATAAATGCATGAACATAAAGGGACCTAGACCATATCGAAAAGCAATTCTTACAAGAAGAGCATCTAACTAACATATGTATATTTATTATATTAGATTGATTAGATAATCAGCTTAACCAAAATCAGTTTAACGAATAAAGCAAGCATTAAAAAAAATGAAAACTTATGATGAAAGTAAAATAAATGCAATGTAGGATAGTAATAAAAATCCATAGACTTTATAAGTTATATAAGAATAAATGACAAAATTGCATTCATATTTCTCAAGACAATAATAATAACAAATAAAAGTATATTAATTAGCATAATATACTCCAAATTGTTCTCCAAAACATTCAAAAACGCCTAGAAATTTACCTTACTTATCGCCTTATGTAACATTGAGGAAAATAGATTCATAATTGCTTAAACCATTAAAGCCAGCTTAATTAATTTAATAGAGATCATAACTATTGACTATGCATAGAACAAAATATCATTAGAAAACATTGTCAACTGTTAGTCCACTTTGAAACTATTAATTTCTTTTTTTGATATAATAGTTAGTATTTCATTTACATAGTTTTGAATCAGTATGTAGTAGTTTTTGACATGAAAATAAACATTAAATTTAATATAATGATCATCTCTAATATGATATAAAGTATATCTCGTATATCAGATAAGATGTAGACAGAAACTAATTCAATAATCTACTCTTTAAATAAGTTTAAGAGAGGTAGTTTAAAGAATAGAAATTACAAACAAAATCAAGAAGATTTTATCAATACAAATGAAATCTAATTAAGAAGAAAGAGTTGCTATTGTAGTGAATGTGGTCAACTAAGTTAATTTCAATATAAGCATATAAATAATTATGTTTAGATAAAAAAATGCATAACTCTCTAAAAAAATTAGATGATGAGCAAATCAATGAAAATTATGTAAAATTCATTAACATTATCACATTATAGTCCTACTTCAAATAGATCATCTATTATAATTTAGAGACATTAATTTAGAATGAATACTTGTAGAGAAATCTAATAATCTCACATTTATAATATATCACCTGCAAGATTAATTTCAATGAAAGAAAATGCAATTATCAATATCAATAAAAATAAAGAATATTATTATAATGAATTATTAGAATAAATTAAGAAAAAGAATCGATTACATTTTCGTTAACTTAGTGTACCTTAAACAAAAAAAGAGTAAGAACCTTAATTGATTAAAAAACATACTTAAACATCTTCAATCCATAGAAAATAGAAACCAGATATTAGACCATATTTTAGTCATTTAAAATTAAAACCAATAAATTAAAAATTCTAAACTTCTCACTTTGAAATCTGAATTCGAAATATAAATTTATGTCATTTACTATGATTACCTACTATTCTTAATATTGATTCTTATATCTCTTATAATTACTAAGGATGTGATTCTTAGATATTTTATTTTAATGTTTGCCAATGAGTATTGGAATTCATATTCAAATCTTGACTATTATTTAATGTAAATAATAGACCAAAAAGTGATTAAACTAATGGTTTTAATTCTATTTACAATAAAATCATAAGATAAATAATTACAATTATCATTCTCTAAAAATTAAAACTTTTACATTAGTAATGTATTTAATTATGAATTTATTTTTTCCTTTAAAATAAGAAATAATATATATATACATCTTATTATTTATGTATGATCTACTTTATTTCAAGATTTTTCTTCTCTTCTTCAGGTTCAACATTATTCTAATCTAATTCTCTCTCCATATAAGCCAATGGCATACTCAATACCTTATCTAGATTATTATTCACCTATTACAAAGCTTTAAATATATTAATAAAGTATATTTACAATAACCACTTAATCCTCTCATTCTAAACTTAGTCATAACATGTTTAGAAGCAGAATCAAAATTCTTTATTTATTACAATGACCATTAATAAAGTGCTTTAAATTCTTAATCTTCTATAAGATTTGGTTCATTTTATAATCTCTAACTTAATTATTTTAAATGTCCAACCAAAGCATATTTTCTGAAATGCTAAATTATGATACCTTTATAAAATTCTAATCATAAATGCTGCAGCATAATGATCTAATTCTTATACAATACTAGAAATCAAAGTATTTTTGTTTTCATTCTATGTATTAAAACTTAATTATTATTGCATATCAAATCGATCATCACTCATTTATTTACTAATAAATTTCTCTTCTCTTATGTTAATAAATAATTCATATATACAATTATATATTTTAATCTGATATTTTGTGAATTCCTAATTCTGGTTATGAAAATTTAATAGTTATACTAGGTAAATTAGTAGATAAGATAGATCCAACATGAACATGTTTGCATATAGGATGAATAGCATATACTGTTTAACCAATATTAAATGGTGCCAATCTAACAATATCATGTATAAGATCTAAATTTCTTATATCTCTATGAATAGGATAATTCTAATCAAATAAATAGTTTCTAATAACAGATCGATATTTAGTCAATTTACTCATTTCTTATTAAAGAAAATAAAATGAAAATCTTCTAGGTTATCCTACAGCCTAATAAATTTTAAATGAAATTCTACCATTTTTATAATTCTCCATTCTGCTATAGATTTTGATCCCAAAGGAATACTTGCTTTACTTAACATCTATTAAAATTCATTTAGACTAAAATAAGTATAATCTAAATGTGAATAAAAATATTCATGTTAAATCCATTTACAAAACTTGAATTTAAAATTATGTATAAATACATTCTGACTAATGTTTTTGTTATCATAAACAATTTCATTATTGAAACATTATGTTTTACTGAAATAATATGTCATATCCTTTGCATTCTCATCCATATCGAATTTTTAAGGAATACTCTTACGATCTTGTGTTTATGCAATAATCTATACAATTTTAATTTTTCTTAATCTTCTTAATAGGTCGTATATCACAAGGTTCATTTTATTCATAATGATCTCTTAATATCAGATACAAGTCATGGGCGGTACAATTTTGATTTGATTCCAAGAAGTTTTTATTCTTCATCCATAATTAATCTTACCTTCTTATATACAGATAATAAATTTGTTGTTGTTCTTTGATATCCTAATTGTCTCAAAGTCTCTTACATTCTGCCAACCCCTGCCAATTATTATTACCTAAAGACTAAAATCAATTTATTCATTCATTCATACTCTTTAAAAACACTTCCAATTCTATCTCATTCCATTATTGTCCTAAATCTATTCTAAGTTTTTAAATATCTATTTATTCAGGAAATTCGTTCATATAAAAATTAATATATGTATTAAAACATCATTTATTAAATACAATAACCAATCTATGTCTTTCTACACATTCCAAAACTTATTCAATATTCACTATTCTGTTTAAATGAATCTTATATTTTATCATTTTATTAATTTAGATTTTGATGAACCTCAATTAAATCTCTAAATATATCAAATTAAATATTCTACCTTTAAATATATTATTGAATCCCATCAATTATATATTACTCTACTCATATATGTCTTAAGAAATTATTACTAAATAAATTATCAAACAAAAATTTTATAGTAAAATGATTAACTAAACTTAAATTTCAATTTAATACTCTATATATAAATTCTTATATTAATTACTCTTTTTATATTATTAATTACTATATATAAATATATAGATTAACTTTATAAATTAAATCCATTATCATAGCTTCCTATTTTCTTTTATGAGATGTTTAGATTAAAATTAATATTTCTTATATGTTAAATCTCATCTTAGAAATATATTGATTTAATTATTGAGTATAAGAAATCGAATAAATTGGGAATAATTAATTATAAATTATAAAAATGGATGATTTTGCAATTGCTGTAAGTAGATATAGAAGAAGAAAATACGATTAGTCAATTCATTTATGCGATAAGATTCTTTAAGCAAATAATTTAGATTAATCTGCTTGGGTTTTGAAGGCTAGCAGTTTAATAAGAAAACTGTTTTTAGATGATATTGAAATAGATGAATAAGGAATTGGTGATTAATTAATGAATGATGATTCAATAAATACAGTTGCTAGACCTGGTACAAGCTTACAAAGACCTGGAAGCTAAGCTGGATAAGTATTAAGAATATATTATTTTTGGGTATTCGACCAATGAGTAAGATGGGGAGATTATAATCTGGATTTGCTAGACCAATCACAAATCGATAGGATACATAAGAAAATGCAGTAAAGACTGCAAGAGTTGGTACAAGATTGGGCACTGCAAGACCTATGACATAAGGAGGAAGATATATAAGATTAGGCACAGCTTCATTATAATAGATTGGAGATTAATTCATTATGGTTGATAAATTAGATCTAAAAAAAATGGCTGATAAACCTGTCATATCAAGAATTTTATGTGATTATTTAATTTATGTTGAGCATAATCCAAGAAAAGTAAATAATTTAAATTAATTTAGGCATTATAATTAGCTGCAGAAGCAACTTAAGTAAATAATTTTAAGGATTGGTGGTGGAAGGAACGTTTAGGAAAAGCATATTTTATGTTAGGACTCTATAGAGAAGCAGAAAAACAATTTGAAAGTTCTTTAAAATTGCAAGAGATGATTAAAACTTAGTTGCAATTAGCAAAGTATTATAAATTTAAATCTATTAGAGTTTATCTAAGAATAGATTAGCCAATAACTGCAATAGAATTATATAAAAAAAATAGTGAGCGATATCCTCATGAGATTTCATATTTGATAGGAATTGCTAGAGTTTATGATTAATTAAATTAACCTGAAAAAGCCTTACCTTTTTATTAAAATACATTAATTAAAGATAATTGTAATATTGAGAGTGTGGCTAGTTTGGGTGCTTAACATTTTTATCTAGATTAACCTGAAACTGCCTTATAATTTTATAAAAGATTAGTATTAATATTAAATATTAATTATAGTTATAATTGGGACTTTATACAGCAGAAATTTGGAATAATATAGGATTATGTTGTTTTTATAGTGGATAATATGATTTATTCTATTCATGTTTTGAAAGAGCATTAAGTGTTGCTGATGATTAATAAAGAGCAGAAATATGGTATAACTTATCACATGTAATAAATAAATTAAATTTAGATATTTATTAATTTAGGTGATAGTGGAACTGCATATTAATGTCTAAAAATATCATTATGTTATGATCCTCATCATGGAGAAGCATATAACAATTTAGCAGTATGAAATAATAAAATATATTTAGGTGGTTCAATCTAAAAGGAAAGAATTTGAAAAAGCAAAACTTAATTTTTAAAAAGCCATAGAAAGTAATGAATTCATATATGAACCTATCTATAATTTAAGTGTATTGCATTTCAACCAACAAGATTATTCTCAATGTTATTTATTGGTTCAAAAAACACTTAAGTTATTTCCTGATCATTCTGATTCATTGGAATTAAATGAGAAAGTATTACAAGTATTATAATAAATATGATTTATATAAATTTAATATAACTCATTAGAAAAATATATAAATTTAATTTTTACTATCTTTAAGATATATATTATAAGGATATTATATAATAATTAATCTAAAAAAAGAGAATTTTTTTAATCTCATATACAATATAAATGGTTGTAGAATAATAAAGAGGACAAATTTATATTGATTGTTTAATTTTAAATTTATACATTTATCTATAATAATAAGTTAAATAAGTAAGTAAATTAGACTTTTCCTTTTTATATCTTTTTAGGAATTATTAAATTAAATTCGTTTAATATAACTACTATGGAGTGTATGAAAATTAATCTGTAATAAATTGAATCTATTTTAATATAATTATTATTTGTAATATATAAACTTAATTTTAATATATAATAATAATATATTCTCTAATAATTAGTATTTATATAGAAATGAAAATAGAAAATGATAATATGAATAAGAAATATTAATATAGAGATTTGGTTTTTTGATTCAATAAACAAATATATATAAATATTTACATCACTAAATTTATAACAATTATTATGAATAGGAGCAAGAGGAAGTTGACATTGATTATTATTTCTTATGTTTAAAAGTTTAAATATCTTCAATCCATATTGCTATAATTATAAGCAAAATCAAAAATCCAATAAATAGTTTGATAATGATGGGATATAATTTGATTGTATAATTAAATGTTAAAACTTCAAGGATATTGTTATCAAATAACAAAAGTAAATAGATTTCTAAGCTTAGTATTACTGCAATGAAAATGATTGATATTACCTTAATGATAGTACTGCATTTTAGAGTACAGAAGTAGTATATTTTACAAATAAAAATACACAATAATAATATAAATTCAGCCAAGGATAATGGCCAAATGAGGTGTAAAAATTAACAATCTTCACAATCTACAGTGAAAGTATCATATTAGCCATCATAATTTAAACATCTTTCTTAACCAGTGAATGAGATTGTACATATTTGAGGTGAATATATCTCATATAAATTTGTGAAAAAGAGTGTAAACTCAAATATTGTGGCAATACCCAACATTATCAGTTGTGAAATAAGTGATATTTTTACACTGTAAGGAATATTTTCTTTCGTCATTAAACTATATTCTTTATTCATTTTAATACACTATAATTATTTATATTAATTATAAGAATTAGATGTATATGAATAAAGTCAATTACTTAATAATAATATGAATACAAATTTAATAATTAAAATAAAATATGTATAGCAATCTCATCAGCTCTAGTCAAATGACTTTAAAAAGGGAGTCTAGTATTAATTTGATAGAGTAGAATGATATGGTACTAATTATAGAGCCTAAAACATTATTCTAATGTTTATCAACATTACTATTTTAAACAGACATATATCAATAATAAATACAAACCTTATGTTTATAATAATTTAAATAACATCATAAAACATTGAATAATGTAAGTTCCTTGGCTGAATACATAATAAATTAATAATCTGAGCAGTTTGAATATGTAAATAATTTGTCAATGATAATAGCTCAATTTAGAGCTGATCTCTTAGATTTTTAAGGTGAAAATTGAATTGTACTTTATTGATGATGGTCTTTTGTCTATGATAATAAATCATGGATATGTTAGAACAATAAGAATATTCAAAGAGGATTATAATTATTATGAATTATAGACAAATTCTTATAGAAAGAAGTTTAAGTTCATAAAGAAGATAATAGATTAAACAATTAATTCATTCTTATAAATAAACAATACAGTTTAATATAAAAGACCTTTATCAGAAGAAGGAAGTTAGAAATTGCATCCATCATTGAATGTAGTGCTTTCAATGAATGATTTAGGACATATTGGATTGAGTGTTTAAAGTGCAAAAACTCAAAAGATTGATAAATAATATCAAACTTCAACACTTACACCATAAATATAAAAAATTATGAATGTTAATTAATAATATTCAGCTAAATTACCTAATGCTCCAATAACTCCAATAACTTCATAAAAAGCAAAGAAAGTATTTAATTTTCGAGATTTTCAAGAAAATTAAGTTGCTTAAATAATAGAAGAATAAGAGGATACAAAATTATTATAAGAGATTTTTACGTATATAAAATAATTTATTATTATTTTAGAAAAACCTAATAGAATCCATAATAAACTCAATAGTAAATAATTGCTAGTTAACCTGAAAGAGTGATTGGATATTTAAAATTCTATAATGAAAGTAAATAATATGGATTTTTTTTGGATGATAAAAATAAGAAAGACATATTTGTTCATTAAGATGATTTTAAAAAGTCTTGTGTAGATCCAGAGTGTTATGAAAAAAAGAGAAAAGGATTAGTTCCTTATTTTAGTTATCAAGTTATCATTTATTAGGGAAAGAAGTAATAAAATGTAAAAGCTATTGATATTAAATTTGAAAGATATGATTAATAAAAATGAAAAATATAAATCTTAATATAATATATTGAAAAAGGTATGAAAAATAATAAATAAAATAAGAAAAAATGCATTAAAATAATGCTGATCTAATTAGACCTGGATGTAGAGGAGGACATGATTAATTCAATTGGGAATCTTTAAGAACAATGAAATATCATGATCGTGAATAATATTTGGGATAAACAACAATAATTGGTTATTTAGATAAAGGTGGAAAATGGAGAAAGAAAGATTGGTATATTAAATCTGAAGATCGTAATGGTTTAGATTTAAATAGTATATTAATAAAATCATATTGTATTATAGAATTAGATGATGAATTTAAAAATGCAAAAGAAGAGGATGAAAGAAGAATAAGAATAGCTTTGGGAATAGAATAACCAGATGATTAAAAATAGATGTAAGTAAAGTTAACTAAAGAAGAAATTGTTTAATTAACAAAAAAATCAAAAATTGATTTTGATGATGAATTAAATAATGAAAAGAAAGGATTAGGAAATGGTCCTATGTAAAAATAAACTAAAAATACAGAAGCATAATATTTATTAGAAGCATATGGTCATTAAGATTAATATTAAGTTTAAGTTAAGAAAGAGGAAGATGGATGTATTGAAAAAAAGATCAAAAAAGATAAAAAAAAGAAAGAAAAAAAAGATAAGAAAAATAAGGAAAATAAAAATAAAGAAGAAAAGAAACATAAAAAACATAAAGATAATGAAGATAAAAAAGAAAGAAAAAAAAAGAAATGATAATAATTTTACACTAAAAATATTTTAAATAGACAGTTAGTCGTTTGAATATATGTGATCAAAATCATGAATTGATAAAGAACTTCATCGATATCCAATTTAGATAAACAATGAAAAATACGACTACTGAAAGTAATGGTATAGTAAATCCAACAACTGAATCTTGAATTAGAGATAAGGTCATGACAAGTATCATTAATATGACAGCTATAATGAGAATCCATCCAATGACTTCATTAATTTTCTGATTCGAGAAATTGACAGAGTTGAATCTTTATTCATAGATGTTAATCGGTCCAGAAGGGAATTCCTTTTTTTAAAGTTAATAAGTATTTTTGGCTTTTTCCTTTTATAATATCAGTTAGTATTGATTCACATTGATCTGTACATTGAGGGTAGCCATGATTGGTATTAAATAATTTTATTTATTTATTTTAAAACTGTTTTGAATTCCTTATCCAAATTTTGCATTTGAATTTCTTTTTTTATATATAATTAATATGATATTTCTAATATTATTACACATCCAAATACTATTTGCATTTAGGAAACTCAATATTACTCATCCTCATAGTACCCTTTATAAAAATTACATAATATTCAATCAAGACAATGATATTGCTTATTCCTATCTTTAAAATCCAAATCACTATTCAATTATATCTGAAAATATGACAGAATTTTGTCTCCAAAATCATTTTCTTGCTGTATGGTATTATTCATAGAAACTAATTTAGGAATCAAGATCTAATTATCGTATATTCCCTTTATGAAAAATAAAATGAAACCACTATTAGTATAACATAAACATTTAATATTACTAATGATAATTTCACTAACATAACTATTACATCCTCCTACTTTGTTGCTTAATATTAAAACTAGTCTTTATATGTCAAGAATATATTAACTCAAAATACTAAAATACTTAATTTTACATTAGTAAAACCAAAAAATAATTCTCATACATCGATTTAAGTTTATAATTATGATACAAACTTAACATTCACATATTTAAATACAGATCATTAATTTCATATAATTTATCTTAATGAAAACATTCATCAACTTGATGAGAAAGTTTGGTTTAGTACTTAAAATGGTGTATTTTCAACATAATATTGGAATAATGGAACTGCAGTGTTTATGAATTCTCAATAAATTAATTATACTGTACCAACTAAAGTATTATTTTGGTATCATGAAGATTCAAAAATAAAAATTAAATATTTATTTTCAATTTAAGATGCTTATGTATTTGCTATATTCACAAATAAAGGAATTTGTTATTAATATTATAGTAAGAGTCTATAAATAAATTATTAAAATATTCTTTGTATGAAAATAGAAGAAGAATATTATTAAATTTAAGATGTAAATTTTAAATATAGACTTTAAATTTTACTTAAACATAATTAAACAAATGAATTGGCAATAGATTATTATAATTAATGTTTATTATTTTCAACAGTTCCAATTGAGAATTCATGTTCTTCATGTTTATTTGAAAATTGTTTGAATGAATGTCACACAATTAAATCATATTAATGTAATGATAGTTACAGAATTAGAGCTAGTTTACCTTTTGTTCTTATATGTCTTTGCTTTATTTGTATAATTGTTTCATTTTTAATTCAAATGCTTAAAATTTTAACAGTTTTCTTATAATTTTTATACTTATTTATTAGTTAGCTTTGTTGTAGATTACCAAAATATATAATACTTAAAATTAAACGCATATCAATAAAATTACGTAAAAGAATGACTCCTTTACCATTAACTAATATTTAAACATGTCCAATTTGTTTAGGAGATGTAATAGATGCAAAGATGTTTCCTTGTAATAGACATGCTGCTTGTTTTGATTGTTTTTCATAATATGAAGCTACTTTTGTTAATTAATAGATAAAATGTCCATATAGAGATGAATGATTAAAAGGTCCAAAAATTTAATGATCTTATAACAACATATTTTATTTGTGATAATTCTTATTATTTTAATATCTAGAAAGTATTAATAAGATATGATATTGGTATTATTTTATGATAATAAATATTTCACCAAGATAAAATATTATTTTATTATTAATGGGATCATAGTGTTGTGTGTAAGAGCGAAATATCAATAGAGCATCTATTGCATCTAAGGCCATTCAAGATGAGTTAGAATATATGAAGGAATTAACCTTTGGTCAGTAAAGAAGACATATCTTGTTATATGAAGACAAACCTATATGTTATTTCTTGAGTAAAATAGAGTTATCTAATGAAACAATTACAACTGCTTATTCTTTGAATGAAAGAGGAACTATAAATGAATTTGAATAATATGAACAAATTTAGGGAGAGATTATAAAACAAATACAAGAGAAATGTGATTATAGTAACAATCAAAATGATGATTGGATTATCTTATGTGATAATGTTAATACCAAAAGTTCGTTGAAATTATTTATTAAATAAATTGAAGTTGATAATTAAACAAAAGTAAATGCAACTAGATGTGAATTCATTGTTCCTGGTAAACCTCAAAATTTTATTGATTTTATGAGCAATTTTCAAAAATAAAAAGAATTAGATCCTCGTATAGATGCTTTTTATCCTATAAAAAAGAATGAGGAATCTAAAGAATCAGTTATATATTTAAGTTATAAACCAATATTAATGACTTCTGCAAGAGAATTCATTTATTATAAAAAAACAAAAGAAATTGATACAAATGTTTTATATTTAATATTTATTAAAATAGGTTTGGTGTGACGTTAGTAAATCTATTATAGATTCTTAATATCCAATTAAAAGTAAAGTGAGAGGTGAAATTTTATTGAGTGGTTATATAGTTCAACCACTTTAAAATTTAATAAATAATGATTACATTAATAATAGGTATTTATTTGTTAAGAAAATGAAGATTCAAAGATAAAAAATTTAATGATTATTCTTTTGTAAGAATGTACTCTTTATGTGATTTTAAAATGTCTATTCCTCTTTATATGGCTAAAGGACAAATAAAATAAGAAATGATAAGATATATTGATTTAGTCTACCAGAAATTATAATGAAAAATTATTAAGATTTCCAAATCTATCAAAATAGATAGTAATTTATTCATTTATTATGATGATCATTTCTTCTCATCATAAAAATCTAATCTTTCTAAATCTGTTGTTAACATATTATGAAATTTATTGAATTCTGCTTATATGTATCCCATTTATTTACTAGTTTAATGAATTTATATTCTCTCATCTTATTTTACATGTTATTAATAATTTGATGCAACTGAACATATTTCTTTAATCTCTTATAAATATTAAGAATTATGATTAGGTTTGAGATGGAAAGTTCTATTCTTTGGAGGAGAAGATGAATTTTATTATGAATTATTACAAGAATGTTAACTTTTTTCCTTTCTTTTTTAAGGTGCTATTGGAGTTGACATTAATTATTTGAACTTCATTTATACAGGATTATCAGCTACAATCCCTATTTTTTGATAATACTTTTTGAATCGATCATAATTAGGATCTACAAATTAAGTATTAGTATTTATTTTTATTGGAGATACAGATGAATGATTACTAGGAGCAGTAGCAATTTCACGAAGTCGAAATTCTATTGATTATCTTCGAGTAAGAAACTAAAATTTATGATGTTCTTTTGTTCCTTAAGGAGGTTAAAAGATTTGACTATGTTTTGAAAGACTTTATCTCGATTTTTCAATTAATGATTTATAGTTGTTGGACATTATAGTCCATTTTTCTTCATTTATTTCATCTAATTTTATTATTGGGTCAATAACAACTTTTTAGAATGTTTTAAAAAGCAATAATTTCTTTTTCTTTGGCTCTTGATTAAATTCAACATCATGTAAAGGTGTTTAGACTTCTTCTGCACTTTTTCTTCTTACCATATACTTAATTACACTTTTACTTTAATCAGCTTTTATATCCTCCATTTTCTTTTGGATTTATTACAGCTTTTTAAACTAAATGATAACCATATTACTTACATATTCTTAATTAACTTTTGTATTCTACTCCATTAAATTTTATTAAATGGAATAAATTCTAATTCCTATATAACCAGTATGAATTACTTTTTAACTTGATCAAAAACTCATCTTTTCTGTTAATTTTCGATATAAATTATAACAATTAGAACAAAAATCAACGAAGTGAAAGATAAACTAAAATTTATAATACTAGTTGAATTGTAAATAATTAATCTCTTTAAATGAAGAAATATGAAAATCTATATAAATGAGTACTCAATATTTTATTTTTTGTTATAGAACAATTTAGAATTTAATGATAATACCTATGTAATCAAAATAATGATAAATCAATTAAAGTATAATATAATATATAGAAAATATCATTTTTATTTAAGATTGGATAATTTAATTAAATAATCATTAATAAAAAGTACAAGTTTAATTTCAGTAAGATGAGATTTATAATTTCAATTAATTGCTATAAATGTTTAATCTTATTTATTTTTCTCATTTCAAAAAAAATAATAAATATTATTTTAAATGTAATGAATAGAATGCTTTCTATTGTTATCTTTACATTTAAATATTTATTGGTTAGATAATACATAATAGTATATTTATGTTAAAAAAATTAATATAATTAACTAATTTTATTAATTAAATTATATAGTTAAAATAGATTGCATTTATATTTCCTTCTTTTAATACTAATATTATTAACAAAATTACTTAATTTAAAACTATGTTTTAAAATAAGTGGATTTGTCAATATAATAAATAAAATATAAAAAATATTTATGAATTATTTAACTAATTAATTAGTTGATTGTTTCTCTTCATAGATTGATGATTTTAATATCAATGATGTATTTTACTATTACTTAAATAGAAATGTATAAAATTGGTTATGATATTTATAATATACACTTAATAAATCAATCAATTCCCTCCCATTCTTATAAAAATTGATCTAAATAATTCACCATAATTTAATGTCTTTTTTCAGCTATTTTTTTACCAGTTTCTGTGTTCATTCTATCTTTTAATAATAATAGTTTTTCATAAAAATGATTAATAGTAGTTGATTCATTTTTTTTGTAATCTTAGAAGTTTTCATGAAATTCAGGTTTCTAATCTGGATTAAATAATTATCTATTTTTGTATCCACCATAAGTGAAACATCTGGCTATACCAATCGCTCCAATAGCATCTAATCTATCAGCATCCTAAACTATTTGTCCTTCAAAGGTTGACATCTGATCTTTCACTTTGGCGCCTTTGAAGGATATTTCTTTAATGATATCTTCTACTTATTTAATTAATTCCTCATTAGCTTCTCCATCTTTTTCTAAGAATTATCTTGCTACTTTAGGTCCAATAGTATCATCTCCTCCATGAAATTTATGATCTGCAATATCATGTAATAAAGCTCCCAATTAAACCAAATTCATATTAACATTTTTGATTTTACTCTCTTCATTTGCTATACGTGTGGCCATCTTCAGAACTCTTTCAATATGAAAGTAATCATGTCCACTTTCAGCATGACATAAAGTTTCTTTCACAAATTAAATTGTTCGATTAATCATAATTTAAAAATTAATATCATTTATAAATTACATTTCAATTTGCATTAGTACTATAAAATATGTTTGTTACAAATATATATAAAAATTCACAAATATTATTAATTTAAATACTCTATGTAAGAATTTGACCCTAATTTTTAAATAATTTCCAATTTCAATCTTTCTAAAGCAAATACTTATTCTCTTATTTTATCATAAGCTATACCAAAATTTTTTGTTGCTCTCTTATTTAAATAAATTAATACAATTCTAAATCTATTATTCCTTATTTAAAATAATCTCTATAATTTAAACATGGATTATGTTCAAATATAGGTTAAATGAAAATGTCAGTTCCTTTTTTAGCTGATTCCATCAATTTTTTAACTTCAATAGGTATTGTAGTTTCAATTAATAGATTTATTAATTCAGTGCAAACAATCCATCTTCTTTAAGATGTTGCACCAAAATTATCATGCAATAATTTAATTGAGTGTAAATCATTTAATTATGTAATTGATCTATGATAGTCTTCAATGAAATTCTCAAGCTAAATTAAAATAATATATAATTAATGACTTAAATATTTTTAATTTTGTTTTATTAAACTACATATTCTTATTATTGTAATTTTTCTGTTAATTCTTATACTTTATTTTCTAATAATTCTATATAGATTATTTTCCTCTTCCTAGAATTTCTTGCAGATTCTCTATTTTTAACCAATCTATTCTTTCCATCTGATGAGTCACTATCAACAATCACTTTTTAACGACTATAAAAATAATCAATATTTACGTTTGTTTTTGTTTGCCAACTGGAGTGGGTTTATCTATTAATTATTGAATTTTATTGAGATATAAGCTTTTAGATTAATTTGTTTGAAAAACTTCTTTATTTTTTTTTAAGAGCTCTTCATCTTTATTTTTTTTAAATTTTTGTAATAATTCTCCTCCAACCAATGCCTTTGATCGTTCTGGCATTATAGGTTCTTATTACAATATCTATTCTTCCATAATATTACAATCGTTTTCAAACATCCAATCTTATTCGGCTCTATAATCTTCATCCATATATACTACAGAGTAATTATTTTGGTTTATTATATTCAAAAAAGTATCTGATGGAACAATTTAAAATGGGTTACTCATATATTTATTAATAAAATATAATATTCCCTTTCATATTAGATTATTATTTCAGAATAGTTTTTTATTCATTCTAAACTCAAAATAAATTTAAATCAAATCAAAAGATTAAATAAGTTTCTAAAAACTTAGATGACTAATCATCCTTTAAATCTTATAATTAGCTTCATAAATATATTTCTATTTTATTTTAAAATTTATAAATGATTGATGATTTGTTTTAGATTTATTTATCAAAAGTTTTCAGTATTAAACTTACAATACTCTCTTAATTTCTAATTAAATACAAAAAATTTTCTATAAAAAAGATTTTATAAGTATCAACTAAATTAAAATTTTAAATTATTTCTTAAACCAATAATATTTATAAAATTGTTAATTTTTTGATTAGAAATAATATAAATCTAAATATATTATAATTGAATTAAGATTAATAATTCTACAGTAAATTTGCAAATAGAAAAATTATAAAATAGAAATTATAATGAATTTACAAATTACAAAATATAAACTATGAATTATTTTAAATGCATGGATATTCATTATTAATAATCATAGTTGAAATGCCAAATCTACATTCTTAATACCATCTCCAAAATAGGCATATCCAAAAATTCTTGTTCCTGCTCTATGATAACCTAAGAAGCCTGGCCATTAAAGATTACGTATTGTAACCTAATTATAGATGAATATGATTACTTGATATTTAGAGGAATCTGTTTATAAACTCCATTATCCAACTGGATGGTCATCTAATTAATCAAAGAAATCATAATGAAATAGAGCATCATCTTAAGCAATCAATGCTTTTTTATTAGGACTCTAAGGTGCTCTAAAATGTTGATAATTAGATATTTTAGATGCTTCTTAAAGAGAGAGTCCTTCGAATGAATCATTATATCTAAAAAGAATGTTAAGTAAATTTGAATTACCTTAATTCATGAGTAGGAGTCAATCTAACTGCACCAACAGGAAGAAGTGCACATTCAAATTCAATTGCATTGACGACATAAGCTAATCTATCCACTTCCAAAAAATTTTTGGGAGGTGGCTTAATTTCTACATCTGAGTCATCATCATTTTTTACAACTTGTTATGGTTCATCTGGGTTTGGTTAATCAGCAGGTGGTTAATCTCCATCTTCACCTGTAATATTAATAAGTATTTTTTCAGGTTATCCAGAAAATAATTATCTGAAAGTTTCAACTTATTCTTTGTATTCTGGATTGAGTGGTGGTAAATTTTAGAATTCCTTTAAATTTGCAGTGTAGAAGAATGTTTTGTGAGGAAATTCAAAATTATTTTTGAAATTCAATCCAATAGCAATATAATAATTGGCAACTGTTCCTTCAATTCTTCCCCAAAAAAGTAATTAATCAAATGTCTAAGTTTGACTAAGCTTTATCAAAGCAATTTCTAACTTGATCCTTCATTACATTAATCAATACTTCTCTTCTGCACTTAAGGTTTAACCAATCTGATTAACAAATCTTAAGTCTTCAGGAATACGATAAATTTCCATTTATTTAAATATATATATATATATAATTCTAAATTTAATATTTATTTTGTTTATCTAAATAACTAATATGTATATAAATTATATATTGTAAAATTAAGAAAATAAATTTAATAATAAAATGTCCGATAATTAGTAATCGTCTGAAATTCAAGAATAAAATGTCTTAGACTCTGTTGTATAATAAGAATAACCTCAAGAATCTAAAGTTCTCAATACTTGGGCAAGATCATCAAAAGATCTAATTGATAAATATAAAAATAAGTTTGATGCATTCAAAGCCATGGCTGTTCAAGCAGGCTATGAAAATGTAACTTAATAATCAATAAAAATTGAAAATACTAATATAAACAATATAGAAGTTAATAGTATTAACCAAAAAATAAATCCATAAGAAAATTAGTATGGATTAACAAAAGTAGAAATAAAACCTATGGAAATATAATAATGCATTAAATAATAATTAATTTCACAAGAAATCTCTGATTAATAGAATGAATAAATTGAATAGGATATTAAAAAAGAAGTAGAATATCCAAAATAATTAATGTAGCCAAATTAAACCTTTTTTAAATAAGAACCAATAAATTAATCAGTTGATTCTGTTAAACATGATTTTTGTTTGAAATTTACTGATACTTTTAATATAGATTAATTCTCTGAAAAATAAGAAATATAATCCCAAAAAAAATTAGATGATTTATTTAATTTAGAATTTGGAAAGAAAAACTCAGATATGGATGTATAAAAAGAAGTTATCATTCAAGATACTCCAGTGGTAGCAAATAATTACATAGAATTATTAGATTAATTTAAGAGTGCTACTACATTAGAGGATCTAACTGATTTATTCAATAGAAGAACTCCTTTCAAAGAAAGAAATAATCAGTAAGAACTTCCATTAAATCCAATAAATAATAGTATCAATATTAATATAAATAATGATTAAAACCAAAAACAAAAAGTTAAAAATTTTGATAATTTATTATAACAATTTAATACTCCAAATAGATTAAATTAAGAAGTATTAATAGAAAATGGGAGTGGTAAGAATGGTGGAACTTATCTTAATTCTTAAGTTCCATAAGTTAACATTAAATTGTCTAATGGTAAATCTCCAAATGCAAGATTTGGTTTTATATAAGCAAGTCCATCTTCATAATATATTGGTATATCAGGACAAAAAACAAAAAAAGAAAATACTTATCTAAATGCTAAAGTTTAATAAACAATGAATTTTACAATTGAAGTTAAAGATAATGTAAAACCTTATAAAAGAAAAGATGAATTATCAAATTTCATGGGTAAATTAGGTTTAGGTAAATATGAAGCACCCAAGGTAACAATTAATTTGGATTAATAGAATGGATAAAGTAATAATTATTAATATTTTATAGATGCATTTGATAGATTGAAACATTATGTTAATAATATTGGGAATACTAGTGCAAAAAGAGCTACAAGTTCAGGATTAGATGAATTAGTGAATGATAAATCATTTAATACTTGCACTTTTAAATAATAAATGAAAGCATATAAAAAGGATAAAGGAGAAAGAGGAGAATCAACTTAAAAATAAGGTTTATCAGTTGAAAATCCAATGTTGCAAGATTAATCAATTAAAAATCTACATCTTAAATTATTACATCATTAAAGAGCAAATTCTTAAGTTGGAAAAGCTGTAAGGATTTGAGATATACTTTTATATAATTTATCAATTGTATGCTATATTTATATACTTCATGTACAAAAGATAATATTAGTAATTAATTTGCATAATTTACATTCATTGAGTTTCTTATCTATGTTAGTATTTTGATCCTGAATTAAAGATATATTGTTTAGTTAGGATATATATGTTTTGATTAATTTGTGTTATTTTATATATAGTATATTATATTCTAATACTATTTATATATGATAAAAATAAAAAGAGATAGTTAATCAAAATTTCATTTGAGTCGAAGTTAAAAATAGACTTGTTTGATAAATGATTTCACTAAATCTAAATTTTCATTTGGTTTATTTCTTAATTTAAACTAGTATTAATAATTAATTATACATCTAATTTTCTTAACTTTTTATGATCCACCAAACTACATAATCTAATTTCTTCTATCTTTTAAGGATATTATAGGTTTTCAATTTTTTAACATTATTCTGTTTTATTAAATGAGAATCTCTCAAATAATTTATTAAAATGTTAACAAGATCTATAAAGTTCTAAAATCTAAACACTTAATAAGGATTATAAAATCTTATTCAAATTTTTGTTTTAGTACTTTTTCTTTTAGATTTAATTCATGGCTGCATTTATGATTAATTCTATCGGATAAAATAAATAAGTAGTCATAAAGTAAATTAAAAAACAAAGGAATACGAATAGACAACCTTATTCAATTAATGAATTTGAAAATGTACTACTTAAATTTTAGTTCAAATTAGAATTGAAATCATCTGAAAACTTATTAAATTCTGAACTGCTAATCAACCTAAAATATTATAAGATTATTTACACAATAACAGACATATTAAATTAATGTAATACTTGTAAACTAACGAACATATCTTAATTATAAAATGAGTTATATAAGCATTTAAAATTCATAGTTGTTGTTTAATTTTGGCAATTTGAATTAAATGAAGGATCAAACAAGCCTTTCCAATCTTATAAACTAAACCCAGTTATAGATTGATTATAAAAATAAAGTGGTATTTTATCAGAGGTGATATTGAATGGATGCATAATTAATATACCATCTAAAGATGCAAGAAAAATAGATGTAAAATCATTCCCAAATTATTAAGTAACTTAATTTAATAAACTGGACGGAATCAAATCAAAAGCACCAGTTCCAATAAAGGAAAGATTTTAATCAACAAATGGGATTGCCATAGATAATCCAACATTTGTAGATTTGAATACTAAATTAATATTAAATTGTAATTACATATGTATGGATAAGTTATGGAAAAATTGTATTTATCATATGATTTATGTGCTAAAAAGTTTCTTTTAGCTTCAATATACCAAGATCTATTTTCAGGAATATAATTAGCTATATCATGTCTTTATAAACAAGGATAAGTCATTAAAATGTTATCCCTTTTGACATAGCCATAGAGAAATGATTACAATGTTGTTCTACCTTAAAAAATAATCATTCCAAAACTATGCATAGATTCTTAAGTTTTAATATTAATCATTTCTTCTTAAGTATAAGGTGAATGAAATTTAGTCTTATTAGTATAACAAAGACAAGAGAGCGTAGTGTTGTAAATACCTAATTTGGTTGTTTAAATTGACTTGGGTATTTTTGCATTAACACCTCCATAATTCATATTAAACTTAGGATTTAGAGGATTAAGATGTGATGCTGTTTTATTTCTAAGATATGTATAAAGTTAGAAGAATGATATCAATGTTTATCCATCTAATTATATATAAATATATTTACTAGTATGAAACAATGAAGTGAAGTATGAATTATATTCATTTAATTAAATTCTGAGCATTGAATTTGAGGTCTTGAGATAAATCTTTTGAGATGATTCTGTAAAAAATAGTTAAATAAATGTTGTATGTATGTAATTGCTACAGACTAGAAATGTCATGATGAAAATAATTTAAAAACTAATTAAAACTAGTAATTGATTCTTTAGTCTCATATTTTTAAGATATGTGAAATTATGCTTGATATTTTTTTAATTGATGATTTGCATTCCAAAATTGCCTCTGTTTATAATTATATTATATCTAATAATTAAATTTAACGTAAATGTTAATTAATTATTAACCAAAAGTAATTGATTTTACAAATATTAATAACAATTATAATTTTAATTATTTTTTTTACTAAATATTAATTTATTAATATTTGTATTCGCTCTTACTAAAAAATAAATATATAATTAATTATTAAATGGCAGGTGGATTAGAAAGAGTGTATGGAACAGAAGAAGACAAAGTATTATTTAATATCAATAATATTAGGTTAATTGCTCATTTTATATCAAAATTGGAGCTTGTCGTTATGAAAATAAATGTTAAAGAATTCATAGTATCCCTCCAATCTCTTAAACAATTTTATTTAAAGTAAGAATTATGATATAATGAAACAGCATATGTATTAAAATTCTCCAATGGAAGTAGCAATTGCTTCAGGAAATGCAGTGTCTTAAGCGGGTATTGAAGAGGCATTAGAAAAATTCGAAAACTTTTATGAAGATGTATTTTTAAAAGTAATAAATGCATATTATGATAAGTTAGCAGAATTTGGTGAGATTGAAGATTTGATTGTATGTGAAAATATTGGAGATCATTTAGTAGGAAATGTATATGTGAAATATACATCAGAATTATATGCAGAATCATGCTTCAATGCTCTTTAGAATTTATCATATGAAAATAGACCATTGTCAATGGAATATTCTCCAGTATTAGACTTTAGTAGTGCTAAATGTAAATAATATATAGATGGAACATGTTAAAGGTATTAAATAAGAAATTAATGATTTAAGAGGTGGATCATGCAATTATTTACATCTTAAAAAGATATCAACTAAATTTAAGAAGAGTTTATTCAATTAAATGTATGAAGAACATCCAGAATATAGAGAAAAAAAAGAGAAAGAAGTTAATGAGTAAGACAATTAATTGATATTATATAAATAGAAAGAGTCCCAAAAAACATAAAAAGAAGGAAAAGAAAAGCAAAAAGAAGAAAACTAGTAGTAGTAGAGAATCTAGTCGTAGAAATTCTATTGAAAGATAAAAAATGATTAATGATTGGAATGAAACAGGTATACAAAATGTAAATTATTATTTTTATTATCTCATTTATAAAGGTATCGTAAGCATAAAAAATGATGTATGGAAATAATATGCCTGCTCCAGTTTATACTCCTAAAGTATCTATGAGAACAAGTCCTGAATTATTATAATTATAACTATAATTAGCTGCTTTAAAAGAACAATTAGCTGCAATTAAGATGAGTTGAATAGTCTATTATATATATAATTATATATATATATATATATATTAATTATGAGAAGGAAGAATTGGAGACCAGAAGTATATAATTTAAACTTATTCAATAAGGAGGATAAGGCTTTACTTGAAATATGCAAGACTTAAAATTATAATTGGAGGAGAGTTTCAAAATTAATGATCTCAATGGGATATAGAAGATCAGGAAAATCATGTAAAGAGAGATTTCATAATTAATTAAATCCTGTTGTTAATAAAGATTAATGGACTTAAAAGGAAGTTGACAAACTTTTTGAATTACAAAACAAATATGGTAATCGATGGGTAATAATCTTATTTATACTTAATTAGAGAAGTATAGCTAAAGAATTACCATAAAGAACAGATGGTTTGATTAAAAATTATTTTTATTCATTAGTTCGAAAAGTTCTTAGGCGTCTTTCCAAAACGGTTAATGGTAACAAAAATGGTATATCATATCAATTTTATATATTTAGGATCTCAAATGACTAAGACTCTTAAACCTTCTGTTATTTCCTCAATATTTTGTGTTAATTAAAATCATATAAATGATAGTGGTATCAAAGTAGAATTTGCATAACTCTTTCGAAATATTATTCTTAAATATAAAAATTTTAGCATATCCTAACAAATTGATATTGAAGATATTGATAAAATTAAATTAATTTTTCAAACATTACAACAATTAAAGTATATTTGATTATCTATATTAGTGAATCTTATAATCATGATTTAGAAAAAAAAAATATGTCCAAAAGTAGATCCAAAAGCAATAAACTGAAAACTAAATTAACTAAACTGAATATTGACCATGTATTTCAAATTTTTTATATTCAATAGATCATCCTTCAAAAAATATAGCTTAAACTTCCGATTTTTACAATGAAATCATTTCCTTTGCAAAAACTATATTAGAAATTTCTATTTCATCATAATACATATCATCCTACACAATTAATGTATTAATCAATATCATCTTTCACATCCTAAAATATAGACTAAAATAACGGTTATGGTGCCATCTTATTTAAACCTGAGTAATTATTATTTTTTCAACCACTTCCTTAACCATATTATGTATTTTTTTGTATACAATTTAATAGCCCATCAATATAAGTACCTTAATCTAACAATAATCAAGTATGCATACATATTACAGCTCCTTCTTCCACCAACCCTCTGAAATTAAAGAAGAACAAGAAACATGATTATATCGATTAACTTTCAAATTTATGTGATTACATTAAACTTCATCAATTTGCATCCAAATCATTTCCACCATCCTTATTCTTAACATTATATAGGACCCATGTCTCTTATTCCATAGAGTCTCTTTGTTGCTTATGACTTTAGACTTTGAAACCCAAAAACAAAAATATATAATTAATTAAATTAGGGGTTATAAATTTATATTTTTAGTATTATTTTTATTATAATTAAAAATAATAAATGACAATATAAATTATAATTAATATTATCAAATATGAATTTCATAATATAAATGACTATTAATCACTAAAAAATCATAATTTAATAATAACTATTAATCATTACTCTTATTTAGGTACTTTTTTAATTAAGAAACTTTAATCTAATCTACCACAACCCTAAGAAGCCTTTGCATTTTTTATTTCTGATGCATTTTTCTTAATTTACAAAGACTTAGATTTTTATTTATTTTGGATTTCTTGTTTTTCTTTTTCTTCTTACTTTTTATTTGTAATTTGTTATTAATCAAAATTAACTGTTGATACCTAATTAGTTACATCAGTTTTCTTTGTGGCTTTATACTCAGTAAATAGTTAATCACCAATATATTATTAAAATAGATTACAACTCTATAACTAAGATTCTAATTTTATAATTAATTATGTACCATCTTATTTTTTTTAATTGCAATCATTTAAAAAATAGACACTTTATTATGAATATTCCCTAATGCTATTGTATTTAATATCTAAAAATTAGAATAATTTTCCTTTATCTAATTTTACATATAAGTCATCATTAAATTATTTTGTAAAACTTATACAATCTATATTCTCTTTTATTTATTTGTGTTTGCTTAAATAAATTTCAAAAGAATCTTCACTATTAAAAATGTTCTCAAATTCAATAGAATTCACTTATTTTTCATTTGCTAATTTATTTCTAAGTACTCTAATAGCAACAAATATTGGATCAACTTTATTAATGACAATAATAGATGAATCTAATAATCATATGAATAATCATAATACCAGACATACAATAATTTCCAATTAAACTAACATAAGGATTCTGAATTTTGGAGGGTTAAAAGATAGGAGCTTCAAAATCATTTAAATTGACGAAAAATTAAATATCACCAAGTGAAAAGGATGAATATGATTCATTATTTTCTAAGAAGTACTCATCTGCCATCAAATATTGATATTATTATCCCTCCATTTATAAAATTTAGTAATTATAAAGATAATTAAAAAAAAATCATTTAGCAATAATTTGAGTTGAAAATAATAAACATTAAAAAATTAGTTCACCAGTCTTAATCTGGCAAATGAAAAGAAATAAATTCCAATTAAATAACCTAATTGATAAAATAATAATAATTATAGCACTTCAATTTAGCAACCAAATATTTGAATTAAAATCCACTCCAAATCTATTCAAATCACTAGCATGTTCTTAATTAAAGGATTAACAATATTCAAATTTATAAAAAAATCAAATGATGCCTTACTACTGGAAATGTTGAATTTGAAATATGCAAAAAAAAAAGTAGAAGAAGAAAGAAAGGAAGGAAGCTAAAAAACGAAAATAAAATTAATTCTCCCCTAAAGAAGATAATCATTAATTGCATTAGGTTTAAATATTGAGACCTTCTAAATTAAAATAACAGGATATATAAAAATCAATTTTAGAAACACCATTATATCCTAAAGAAAATATAAGCTCTTAAAATAAAATATTTTCATCTCCGAAAAAAGATGGTTAAGCAACAATTAGTTACTTATTCTAAACCTAAAAATTAAGAGGAGAATTAGAATCAAAAAAACTCATCTACTTTGAATGTGAATTTATAAAGATACTTGGCAGTTTAATATTAGAATACAAAAGGTTCTAAATTTGATCAAGAATTAGCTGAGAGTACAAATATTATTCAGACATCTTCAATTCCAAATTTTAATAATAAACCCTACAGGAAAGTGTTAGATGAAAAAATAGATAAGTTTTATTATTCAAGTAGATAATCTAATATGAGTTTTTTATAATATTTATATAATTATAATATGTTAAAGTTTGATATATCAAATGTTAAGGGTAGTGAAAAGACTCTTTTAAAAATGATAATTGAAAAATAAAATTGGATTGATTGTGGAGAATAACATTCGAAAGCTAAAATAGTTTGGAATTAAAGAAAATAAGATAAATGCTCTAAATTTTCAATTGACAGACCAAGATTATAAATCTGTAATAAGATTAAAGGAGTTGGCATTATAAGTTAAAAAGCATAAACAAAGTAGTGTTTATCTACATTTGGAATGTTTTACCCAGAGATTAATTAACTTTACCCTGAAACCTACATTTATCCTTAAGACAGAAATCTTTTGTATTCAAAGAATCTCAATTAATTCATTGCCAAACCTTCGAATGGATCTGAAGGTAAAGGGATATTCTTTCCAAGTAGTATGAATGATTTAATAAAAAAAGCAGGTTTAGAACAAATGGTTATTTAGAAATATATAGATAACCCTATGCTTTTAGATAATAAAAAATTTGATCTTAGATTTTATATTCTAATTTAAAAGTTAAATCCTTATATTTGTTATTTGAATAATGAAGGATTGGTAAGAATATGTGTTGATTCCTATGAAAAAAATAATAAAAATCAATTTGCTCACTTAACAAATTATGCAATCAATTGTGAAAATACTAATTATATACCTTGTTCAAATGATTTTATGAATGATAATCAATCAAACAAATAAAGTTTTTAAGTATTTAGATAAACCCTAAAAAAATAAGGATAAGATGATTAAGTGATATTTCAAAATATCGAAAATTTAATAGCTCAATTCATGAAAGCCATTTATCCATTCTTACTTTATCATTCAAAAAGCGATAAATCAGAATAATCTCAAAATTTTTGTATTATTGGTTTAGATATCATATTAAACAATCAAGGTTAACCATTCATTTTAGAAATGAATTCATCACCAAGTTTATAAATAACTTAATTCAAAAATAATAAAGAAGAAATATCTCCTTTTGATTTTTATGTAAAAGAATTAGTTGTCACTGACGCAATTTTGATTGCATCTCAATAAAAAGAATGGAAGGATACATCTTATAAATTATTAAGTGATGCATATTAATTAGTTAATAATTCTGTTCTTGAATTATTAAATTTATTTTGGTATTGTGGAAAAGGTATGAAAACCTTATCTTGTTCTTAGTTTTGTAAAATTAGCAATTTTTCTGGTATGCTTAATGAAAATCTTTAAAGAGTAGAATATCAAATTTTGTTTTGTAAGTTTTAAGTTTAACGAATTGATTTCTATTAGTTTCTTGAATTAATAATTGCTGTTCAGAAAAGAATGAACATCTAATTGTATAATCTATTAGAAATGATTCGTATTTGATTTTTTATTTTAATATTAAAAATGAATTACTTAAGAGAGAAGGTCTCTGGAAAAAAGAAACGTTTAATATAAGAAGGATATAATCTTGATCTTACCTATGTGACTAAAAGAATAATTGCAATGAGTTATCCTGGAGAAGGATTAGAAGGTTTATATCGAAATCCAATTGATTAGGTGGGTGATAACTTTATTATAATTAGGTTGCTGCTTATTTAAATACACAACATAATGCAGATTATATGGTTTTCAATTTAAGTGGTCGAAAATATGACTTTTAAAAATTTAAAGGAGTTGTACAAGATTGTTGGATATGGAAAGATCATCATTCACCTCCATTAGATCTTCTATTTGAAATTTGCGATCTCATTCATGGTTATTTGAAAGGTGAGATTTATGCTAAGAATTAGGGGACAAAATTAATGTAGTAGTAATTCATTGTCTTGCTGGCAAAGGCAGAACAGGGACAATTATTTGTTGTTATTTACTTTATACAGGGAAATTTAAGAGTGTGAAAGATGTGTTATATTATTATGGAAAGAAGAGATTTGAAGAGGAGGGTTTAGGAGTCAATTAGCCTTGTTAAGTGAAATATGTTGAATACTTCTATAAACTTTTGTCTATGGGTTACGTAATCTATCCTACTGTTGTTACTCTCAAACGAATTACATTTTAGGGAAAGTAAGATTAATAATTGAATTAAAAGAGCTCCTGCTTTTAATATGAATGGCAGTTGTAAACCATATATGTAAGTAATTTAAGTGAAAAATGATAAGGAACTATATTCCACATAAAAAGAAGCAAAAAAATATAAAGGTGTCTCTCATGATGTATTATATCTATATAAATTTAAGTTAAAATTGGACAAATTAATGCCTATTTATGGAGATATTTTAATAAAAGTATTTAATGAAGGAATATTAAAAAAAGAAAAAATGTTTAGATTAGCATTCAATACAGCATTTATTGATGAAACAGCATAAAAGTAATTTTTTATTCTTAGTATTTAAGTTCATTAGAATTTTCATTACATGACTTGGATCCTAGTTAAATAATTAAGGATGAAAGATTTGATAAAAATTTTAAAGTTATTGTATATTATTCTTTAAATTAGATTTATAGATCACAATAGAACCATGCACAAAGTGTAACAATAGAACTGATTTTTAGATGCTTTGTGAAATATGTAAAGCACGTTTGAAAGAAGAAGAGAAATAATGGGTTAAAATAAATGGATTAATAAGTTAATATAAAGTGCCTGATGATGATTTAGCTACAGAATTGTTATTTATAAAAAAAGAATATGATGATGTTGATGATGCTATGTAATTAAAAAGGACAGAAAATTCAAATGATAGTGATCCAAAAGATAGAGAGATATTCGAAAAAAGAGTAAGAGCAAAAACAATTAAATTTATATAAGAATAACCATAATAATAATAATAATAATAATAATAATAATAATAAATAATATAATAAGAAGGATAAATTTTATAAGAAAATGATATTCAAAATTAATGAATATTTATTAATGTTTTTAATAATTTTTAACCTATTAAAAAATATTTATGCATCATATTGCTTAAATTGTTTTTATAGAAAATGGTTTTATTTTTTCTTCTCTTATTTATGTTTATTCGAATTTATTAAAAATCAAACTCTTTGTCGGACTTGAATTTTTAGATTTCACAGGAGATTTAGGAGGTTTAATAAAATATTTATTGGATGGTGATATTTATTATAATTTAATTTGTTTTGTAGGAGAGATTCCTTATTTTTCTATAGTTAAATTATTTTTTTAAGGAGTAAAGCTTTAAAAATTTTGAGAGAATTAACTTCTTTAACATTTAATCTTTGATAATTAAGGTAATCTGAAAAGCTATGTTCTTTCAAATTGATCTTGCTAAATAGTTAATAAATTTGATTCTGCTCTTGGTTTTCTAGTCGGTATAGATTTATAATCTTATTTTTTGATTTTCTATTTATTCCTATTCCAAAATTCTAAAAGACTTATGAAATCTAAACGATCATGAGGATTAAATTAAATCATTTAATCTAGAAGTTTTGAAATATCATCTTCATTCTAATTTATTTTATCTTTAATTTCTTAACTAATTATTTCAGCTTTTAGAGATTCTCTATCTGTTTAATTCAATCTATAATCCCTAAAAACATTTAAAAACACCAATCCTAAAGAAAAAACATCAGACAAGTAATAGTTTTAAACATTGTTGTTTAACATTTCTGGAGACATATATTAATTAGTCTAAAATATACTATGCATTACCCCAATCTAAAAAAACTTTTTTTTAGTTGATTTCTTGGACCTTTTAGATCCTACTTATCCTATTTATCTTTTACATTCTTCTGATCTTTCTGTTAGTTCTGATTCTTCAATCTTGCTGGATGCAAAATCACATATTTTATATACAACAGGGTTTGTTTACATAACTAGAATATTTTATGGCTTAATATCGCAATGTGCTATTTTTTATTACTATAAATAAGCTAATGCACTCAATATCTAATCTATTAACTCTTTACCAATAGGTAGGTTTTTTTGTTTATAAGTACATAAATCGTAAATACCTAACTCCATACATATGTAGCCATTCCACTCTGAATGATATTAATTGGTTGAATGGAATAAATTACATGAATCAATATATTAGACTATATTTGGATGATTGAGTTATTCTAATATTTAAATTTCTTTTCTCATCGCCTCTTCATTGTAATGCTAAAATGATAAATTATTTATACTTCTTTCATAGCTACTTTATTTCCAAGATTATCTACTCCAACATATGCTCTATTTTATCCATAGCCTAACAAAGTTGATAACTAGCATTAATAAGTAAGATTAAATCCCTATATGACTTTGTTACCTCTTAATTGTATGACTTGCATTATGTCATTTTGATCACTCATTTTATAAAAAATATATAATCTTCACAATAAATCACAAATCTTATAATCTCATAATTTCTTTTAGATCTTCTATTTATTCTGTGTTTAATAAATCAATAAATTAGGAAAAATATTAATTTAAGAAACATTTATATATCATATTTTTTATGAAATCTATTTAAATCTAAAATAGGGCTACTTAATTATAAATGATATTCCATCTATCTCAAGATTTTATATTGAATAGAATATCCATACATCACTCATACATTTGATAATATTTCAATATGAGATATTATACTTTTATTAATTTTTAAAGCAACCAAAATCAAATTACCTTTTTAGAATTAATCAAAAATTAAGACAAATTACAATTATATATTCAATTTATATAAATTTTAAACAAATTTAAGTGACTGTCTTATTGTACAACCAATATATAAAAAATAACATCATTTACAATAATACTTAAAAGATTTTGAAAATCATTTAAATTCTTTGAATATTTATTGCATATTATTAAATGTGATATCATTAGTGATATAGTTGATCTTACTGTTACATAAAATAACATGAAATTCTTTTATTGAATCATTATTCAATTAAATAAGCAAAATCTCTATTAAAGCAAACGATATAGGTCTTGATTATGTCTATATAATTGTAATTAACATTATTTTTATCATAATTTTACATTTATCATAATGAACTAAAATATTAAAGTGACTTCAAAAAAATTTGAAAAGCAATTTAATATTTTCTTAAAAATTATAAAAAGATGCAATATAATCTTAATTCCTATCTTAAAAGTTATTTAATATTTAATTCTATACTAAATAATAGTAGTTTTTAATATTTTAAATAACGTTTAGATTTATTTAATTTGGTTAAAAACTAATAGATGATCTTTTATAGGAATACCCATTTTTAGTATTGATTCCTTTTTTAATAAGAATAATCCTATTTTAAAAAATTCTAAATTTATTAATTAATTAAAATATTTATTATAAAAATTATTTAGATTAAATAAATTTAAATATGGAGAACTTCTTTTCTTAATTATTTTAAATAACTAGATTTAAGAATGGTGATTGTTGAATAAAATATTCATTAATTTTATTTTTATTTAATACGAAATATGACTAATTAAAAGTTAATGTTACCTTATGAAGATATATTTATATAAATATTTATCATATATTTCTATCTGATAAAATATGCATAGAGACTAAAGGTTTTAATAGTAAAATAGGTATTTTTAAATATCTCTTAAGTATTTCAAGAAATCAAGATTAATAGGAAAATGCATAAAGAATTCAAAATTAATCATCAATTTAATATACTCAAGGACTTTGTTTTATTTCAGCTTTGCTTTATGGTGTAATGATTTTGATACTTGTTACTTTAATTCTATCAATTATTGCAATTAGCTAAAATAGTGAATAATAATAGGTAGTTTATTTATGTATTTTACTAATCCTTTTGTTAACAGCACTATTTGGATGTACTGTGTATATAAAATTATAATTCTCTGAAGCTGAAAAAAATTAAATTAAAATGCACAATGAAATTCAGATGAATTTTTGGGTTTATTGTTCAACTCATTACTTTTTTTTTTAATATACAAGCCAATCTAAATTCCTTATAATCAGATTAACCTATTTATATTGCGTATTCTCTATTTACTTTTTGGCATAAAATATAATATATAAGACTTATTATGAATGTTATGATGAGAAAAATGATCACCATTATTAAACTGATTCTTTAGATGAAAATTAAGATTATGATGATTGCATAAGAAATGAAATTCCAGCTAGGTTTTAAGGGCCTATGCTAATTCCATTAGGAACAATATGCTTAATAGTATCATTTACATTTTTTGTATATGAAATCATAAGAATTTGTTAATAGATATACTTGATTTATAAATTCTGTATATACCCTTTTTATTAATATGATATGACAAACATAAGTAAAGATAACTCTCTTATTCAATAGATGTTCCATAAGTAATAATTTAAACTAAAGTATTTTTTACTATCTTTTTTATTAATAATTTAGGGAAATTTATAGCTTTATTTGTAATAATATTTTTGACTCCAAATAATACTTCATATATTTTAATTTCATCTAATTTATTTTACTATTTTGTAATGATGATATTTATTCTATCATTTTTTTTTTAAATTGCTAAATGTAATTATATATTTTCAATATTAGTGGATAACAATTATCAATAAAATAATAATTTAGAGTTTGTTGATTATTAATTATTAATAGATTCATTATTAAGAAGGAGTAACAACTAAAATATAATATTTAAACTCTTTATAATAATATCCTTAATTTTTACAATTGTTGGAATATCATTGTTTGAAAATTAGATGGACAGATCTTATGTAATAATAAATTATGATATATTTATTGAATATGATAGTGGAATAGTTTAATTAATATTTCTAGGACTGATATTTATAAAATATTTGATTATTCCACTTTCATCTAATCAAAATATTAGGAACTTGACTTAAATTAATTAATAAGTGTAAGTGCAAAATTAAGAACACTAATAAATCATTTAACAATAGTAATAACCTTAACAAGGAGTAAATTAAATTCAAATTAATAATAATATTTAAATAAATTTACCTTAATAAAAAAGGTTGGTACCTATTTCAAATATAAATAAAAATTTTATTTACTAAGTAAAACTTAAAGATAAAACAGATTGTACTATTTGTTTGCAATAACTTATTTAAAATTCATAAGAGAATCCTATTGTACAATTAAAATGTCACATTTCTCATATTTTTCACTAAAAATGTATTTAGGATTGGTTGACCCAAATAAAAAAATGCCCAATTTGTAACACAGAATTTTCATGATGATTATTAAACTTAAGTTATTAAGAACATTTAAATAAAATAAAAAAAAATCTTAGAATAATTAAAAATTAAAGTATTTTTGTTTTAATTAAAATAAAAACAAAATATAATAAAATATTTTTGATTTTAACATATTTCATTTAGCTTTATTAATAGCTGTTTATAGTTCATCAGAAAAAGCTTAAGTCATTAAAACATCTAAAGCCTTTTCTATAAAACCAATTTCTCCACTAATGGCTGCTACTAGATCATCATGAATCTTTTGATTTTAAGAGAAATTATTGTTTTCAGTAGTCAATCTATCTTAATAACCTTATAATTCTTTTCCTCTTGTATCTAATAATCTATTTGTATCTTCAATTTATACTAAATAAATAGAATAAATATATTACATGATCTTTATTCTCTTTCAGCATATGCATCACTATATTATTTTTCAAATACTTATTTTTCATTTTCTAATTGATTCATTCTATTTTCATGTAATAATTTCTATTAATCCTCATCATTATAGGCTGCTTATAAAGTTTCCACAAAATAACCTCTTAATGATTATAATAAATCAACCAATTATTTTTAAACCTCTCTATCAGCAAAGTTCTACTTTTCACTAATTTACATTAATGCTTAAATTATGGATCCAACATAATCAGTAGATTTAGATGATTTTTTTTATAGAAATAGAAGATGATCATTAATTTTATCAACTTCAATAAATGAACC